TAGCAATTATTATTATTATTATTTGCAGACTTACAAATATCAATATATTTATCGTTATACGTAGAACATGATATGTTACTACTTATTTTTGTATTTTTCATTGTATATGAAACATTCGATATAAATCATGGCAATAATTTTAAATATTTAGTACGTCCTTGTGATTGAACTAAATATTAAAATATTGTCAATCTAATTTATGTCAATCACTGACAGGTAATATGAATATTTCTGTGACATTAGGAACTAAGAATGTGATATAAAATAAATGTCCTTCTTAAAATTTGAACACGGATATTGGTGGAACATTAAGGTCAAGGGAAATGTCAGAGAGTTTAAATAAATATAATATATTAGCTAATAGATTGTCCTGTGTTTGAATATAAATACTATATCAGGTTTACGTGAATATCGAATGATTTTTATCCAAAATTATTTTTATTGCGTTTGTTATTGTCCTATACATGTATTCTCTAAATATTCGTACAAACCTGTTCTCTACAGACAATTTCAATATTAATAATAGAAAATTAACAAACATATACATTCTCAATTATTTTAATTATTTTATAATTGTAATTTTAATTTATATTATTTACTTTATTTTTATTTTCATTTTAATACATTTAATTATTTTTTGAATATCATCATAAAATTGCATTACAAAGCCAATATTAATTTAATTTATCTATATATATTTTAAATATAAAATAATTTACATATATAGAATATATAATTTTAAACGAAACAAAATAAGAAATGTGATATAATTTTATAATACTTTATGTAATTTCGAATTTTAGTTTAATTATTAATTTGCCCTCACTTTCATATTTTACACTTGGAACGCAGTAGAAATGCTATTCTTTTATTCAGAGAGTTTCTTTTAGCATTTAATGTTCGGAAATGTCTCACGAAACTTTCCTTTCAAATGAAACAGTTAGTTCATTCAATGTTAATACGTAACATGAATACTAGTGTCTTATTGACAAGTAACGAGCAACCTCTGTTATTTAACATAAGTCAAGGACACGTGTCATCAACTGATGAATTAACTGTTATTCGATCGTTATTAATGCATTAATTATTAAAATTAGAAAGGAAGAAGGGAATCTTAGCTACAACTGCATTGCACGTAAACAGTAATATTAGAAAAATTTGAAAAGTATAACTAGGCACCAATACGAGTATTAGATGGGAAAAACAAATTATTCAACACAAAAAGAAATCATTAGCTACTATTTTAACGAAGAAAAGAAAATTTTTAGAGATACAGATTCTTCTTTATATTTTATAATTTTAAATTACAAAACATGTCTATAAGAAGATAATAATTCAATTTCTATCTGAAGTTTTGCAAACTCAAAATCTTCCAGTTTATGTACTTTTTAATACTGTACGTGTAATTGAGCTTCAAACTCTTTTTCTTTATATGAATTTAAATATTTTGATATATTTTGAAACATTAACGAAATGTATTCAAAATTAATGGTGAGGAAGACTCTTTTGCATACTTTCGAGTAGTATTGTTACTGTATTATTTTATATTTTTAATTTTAGATGAATTTTTTTAATTTTTTAATATTTTTACTTTTTCTAACATTTATTACAATAAATATTTCAAATAATTATTTATATTACAAATAATTATATTGCAGTACTATAAATAATGCAAATTTGAAATATAACAAAATTAATATTTC